TTATTCGAATACTCGAATATCTAACGAATATTCGAATAATCGAGTATTCGAATATTCGAGTATTTCTATTCGTATTCGTTAGATATTCGAGTGTTCGTTTTCCGTTCACCGTTTTCCAAGAAGAAAAATCGTATCTCATCATTTTTGGCAACTAGCCGCAACGGATAAAAAAGTGCCATTGTCGGCACATTAATTGTAACACCGCGGAAAAGTTGATGACGCGTATCACCAGAACACAGAGACGTAATTTTACATTCATTTGCAGGAGAGTAAATATGATTATTTTCATTTGCTTGTAGTTATATGGGTATTTGTTTAAATGCTTGTAGAATATGAATAATTTATTTTATAAGAGTATACAAAGTGCATATAAATATATTTGCACCTAGTGAGTTTGATAATGTTGTTGTATTCGAGTATTTGAATATTCGAATATTTTGATATTCGAATTTTCGAGTATTCGAATATTCGAGTTATGACTACACATAATTATTCGCTTTTCGAATATTCGAATATTCGAGTTAAGACTACACATAATTATTCGCTTTTCGAATACTCGAATTATTCGAGTTTGATTCCGAGCCCTAACCCAAACTTTCTGCTCGAACTAACCTTAAAATTTTAAAGCTTGCTTTGTTTATGCACGGTTTGTGCATCATAGAGTAAGTAAAAGAAACGCGCCATACTTTAAACGGCGTTTAAAGCTATAAACGCCCAAAATCGGTCAGTTCGTTTCTTTAAACGCGTTTAAGCACAAACTAAGTTTAAGGTTCTGGTGAAGTCCATTTCGTGCGTCAAACTGAGTTTCAGACGTTAAACTGGTTTAAGATCGCTTGATGAAAATGGGTCTATGCGACCGAAGAATAAAATCGTTATCGAAAATATGCCATTTTCATTCGGGGAATTCCCTCGCATGTTCAGTAATTCGCAGTTTTAGATGTTTTGGGAGGACGTATTCAATGCAGACTTTTCTTTCGTGCATTACCAGACAAAGCTTTAATTTTTCAATATTAATTTTAATATCTCATATTTATGAGAGCTGCACCGGCGGTAAAGTTGTCTAAAGAAAAATTCACCATTTTGTTTCACGCAACAATCAGCAGAAAAATCAGCTCGGCCGCGTGCTTTGAAAAATATCGTCATCGAGAATTTCCCGGCAATTTGGAAATTAAACAAGAAAAAGTTTGTTTGATAAAAAGGAAAGAAGAGTGCTCTTATTTCTAGATAATGCAGGATGTCATCTTTGCGAACTGAAACTGAAAAATATAAAAGTTATATTTTTGTCTCCATCCACCACTTCTATGTCAGCCCTGAAACCAAAATATCGTTAAGAACTTATAGGGATCTTATTCTAAAACATGTTTTAACTAAAATTGACGCCTACAAATATTTGCTTGAGCTGTCAAAGTCCCTCAATGGATCAGAGCTTTTATATTTCATAAAGACGGCATGGAATAAAGTAAATTCTGCAACAGTCAAGAATTATTTTATAAAAGCTGGATTCAAGATGACTGCAGGAGAAATTCCACAAGATTATAATCCGGAAAATGAACTGCGTTTGTCAGTATTAGCTGAACTATGCGTCATGCATAACTGCCTTTAATGCAAGTGATCCAGATGCAGAAGAATTTGTGAATATGGACCATATGGTACAGACTGAAAAGAAAACGTTTCATTCTGATACTACAGCCATGAGTATTGATGATAACGCATCAGAAGAAACGTTGACAATTGTACCTAATGCTTCACTCATAAAATCGTATGATGAAATTTTGAATTTCTGGGAGTCCAGGAAGTTTTCAGTTACTAAGAGGAAGCGATTGCCCTTTGATTTCGAGAAAAAACCAAAAATCTCTGGAGCCTGACTAGAATATCACCCGAAAGAGAAAACCTCACTTTAATAGAAAATTTTTGGGAGTCTTCAGGATTTTGTCAGAAACTAAATCGAAGCGATTGGTCCTTGGATAACACGGATTTTTCAAAAATTCGCCAAGAAAAAACCAAAAATTCCTGAATGCGGCTCATAACATTCACCATACGCTCCATAAGTGGTGACGTCACAAATTAGACATATTCAGGGACTGTATCTAAGCAAAGCAAATTTGCATTAGAGTTAGATACGAAGTTTCCAAAGTGTGCTGATTATCTTAACAGTGAAGAAAAGGTAAGGTATTCTAAGGTATGTATTTGCATTTAGGAGTGTCTTAGTAACGATTCTACATTGAAATTATAACGTAATAATTAGCGGTTTTCTTTATTTTCGATGAAAATGTCTTGGTAACCTGAAACTTGATGTAAACGTAAAACGGATAGCAGGTTTCG